CGAACCTGCGCTGGAGCTTTGCCGACTCGCACGTCCGCATCGAGGTGAGTGTGCCAGTGCCCTGCGTGTCGCTTCGCCTCGCCCCGCCTGCCCTGGCATGCATGCATTGCTGATCCCGCCCTGCAGGAGGGCGGATGGACTCGGCAGACGACGGCCCGCGAGTTGGGCAGCAGCGTCGAGCTGGCGGCGGTGAACATGCGCCTCGACCGTGGCGTGGTGCGCGAGCTGCACTGGCACAAGGAGGCCGAGTGGGCGTACGTGCTGGCCGGCGAGGTCCGCGTCACCGCCATCGACTACGAGGGCGCCAGCTTCATCGACAACCTCAAGCGTGGCGACCTGTGGTACTTTCCCAGTGGCGTGCCGCACTCGCTGCAGGGCCTCGGCGAGAACGGCACCGAGTTCCTGCTCATTTTCGATGATGGTGACTTCTCCGAGGAATCGACCTTCCTGCTGTCGGACTGGCTAGGTAAGCTCTGCCGCCCCCGTCGCCCGCCTCTCTCGTCGCGCCGCCTTGCAGGGAACCGGGACGCTGTCAGTAAGTGCATGGCTGCTGACACGACGACAAAGCACACACCCCGAGGTCGGTCATCTCCAAGAACTTCAACCTGGCGCCCGAGGTCTTCGCCTACCTGCCGGCCCGCGAGAAGTACATCTTCCAGGGCTCGTATCCGGGGTCCATCGAGGAGGAGAGGCCGACCGGCCGGGGGGTCAAGAAGTCCAAGCACAATTTCGTGCACCGCCTCCTGGACCAGGAGCCCCGGCGCACCAGCGGCGGCGAGGTGCGCGTCGCCGACGCGGCCAACTTCGCCGTGTCCCAGACGGTGGCGGCGGCGCACGTGACCATCGAGCCGGGCGCGCTGCGCGAGATGCACTGGCACCCCAGCGCCGACGAGTGGTCCTTCTTCGTGCGCGGGCGCGCGCGCGTCACCGTCTTCGGGGCCGAGGGCGCGGCGCGCACCTTCGACTACCAGGCGGGCGACGTGGGCATCGTGCCGCGCAACATGGGCCACTTCGTCGAGAACATCGGTGACGAGCCCGTCGAGATGCTCGAGGTCTTCCGCGCCGACGCCTTCCGCGACTTCTCCCTCTTCCAGTGGATGGGCGAGACGCCCCGCCGCCTGGTCGTCGACCACCTGTTCCCCCACGACAAGGCCGCCGGCGAGCGTTTCTGGCAACGCGTGAAGAGCGCCGACAAGGACGAGGTCACTATGCCCGACGTGGACGGAGAGGAGGAGGAGGGGGAAATGTGGAGGAATGCTGCTCCCCACGCCGGCGAGCTCTGATGCGCTGGACGCGTCTGGCGCTAGGTTGTTCAGACGAAGAGTCGCTCAGGTGAATTCTTCAGGCTGTACTCCGTTTCCGGTAGGTGGGTGATGCATGGTATATGTGTGTCGCTCCGGACGGCGAAGAAAAAGTGTGGACAAGAACCTCGAGGCCCTGAGTATATGAAATGCGATAGAACGAAGGCCGGGCGGGGCAGGTCCGATGAGTGTTCCCGGCCACTACTTCCGCGCCGCCGGGCGGCGTGCCGGACCCGAACAGCCCGGCGCACGCGGCGGTTGCGTGAACCGGCGCCATCTCGCAGCCGAAACCGGCGGTTGCGATAACAATGACAGCCTTGCGGCCCATGATCCTTTGTCTTTTCGTCTGGCCATCTAGGGAGATAGGATCGTCAGCTCCTTGTCGTTTCCTTGCTGTCTGGCTATCAGGTATCTATCAGGAGTCAGAGGCACCCCTCTTTAACACCACAGACCATATCATCGTACATACCGGTACGTACACGTAAGTCGTGGGGGCCACGTGCTTCCTGTGCCGCGACCTCAAGCTCTTATGCAGGTGCTGTGGAGTTCTGCTCCCAGCTCGACGATGTCGCCGCGCCGCAACTCACTCAGGTGTATCTCGGCAGACTCCTCTTCACCACGACCCGGAGCAGAACGTACGATTCGGGGTCCCTATCAAGACTCATGTGCGGTAGACTATCAGAGGGGATCCTCGTCCCGTAGCAGTAGGGAGTCCCAGTCCACGCTTGTCCTTGGTCCCCATTCTCCCACTCGTTGATCTGGCAAGCGGAGTGGTCAGTCACTTATCTCCCCGCCCGGCTGTGTGCATTATCTTGGCCGAACCTGACTCCCGCTTACATGGGCTCCTCATCAATCCTGATTCTGCGGTATTGCACTATCTGCTATGGATATCTCTGTTACACGACGTACCATCGGCGTTGAAAACCGGTTTCCAGCACCCCGCGTGCCATGGCCGGGTTGCCAGACCCCGCCCCCGGATACGACCCCTGCCAAGCGCTGTCTGAGAAGCTTCTATGCACTTCAAGCCGTTACTGTCATGTAGAAACGGCCACTGACGGCCTAAAAATACACATGTACACTCAGTCGGACGGCTGGGGTGCTTGTTCTGGGCCTTACCCGCACCCGGCACGGATAGCCGAAGCCCCCAACCGCCTCCGATGCGCTGACCTCGCCCGTGTTTCGACGTATCAATCGTACTTACTTCCTAGACGGTACTCGTCATATGGCACAAGCTGCGACTTGATAAGCGCTTTGGGGGCAGGCTCTCCTTGTTCCCCAAGTCCAGACTTTTGTGTCGTATCCGGTGACGTTTCGCCTGCAACGGAGGGGAGACGTGTGGAAGTTCCAGGCCCTCTGCTTCGATATCATTTGCTACGGTAGGAGCTCCGGCACCCGTGAGATCTCGATGTGCCGCCTATACCTCGAAAACCGGATTGCCATTTCACCAGGGATCTTGTGCCCCTGCAACGTGTGTGCTGGCTGAAGACGTCACGTCCATGCTGGACGCCGAAGCCTTTGTGATACATCTGCCCTTCGTCCCACCAGTGATGTCTATATAGTCCAAGCCTTCCCCGCCCTCCGTCCATAAACATCCTCGTTCGACTACCAACAGTAGCCAACATCCAAATCTCTGAAACACTAGATATCAGGCTACCACCAGACATCATGGACAAGATTGAGAACGCCGTCGACGGTGAGGAGTATGTTGCCCTCCGACACCTTCGGACTCCAGTTACGATACTGACTTGGATGACAGCGCTGCCCGCCAGGACCAGCAGAACCCCAGCGACGCGGGCAAGGACTCCATGGTTGACAGCGGTAAGTTTCACAGTTGTAAATCATCACCTGTTCCCCAGCTGAACATAAGTCTGCGCAGCCGTCGATAAGTTCGCTTCGAGCGAGGGCGCCCCGGCTGCCGCTGACCCCGAGATCAACAACGTGGTCAACGACGAGGTCAACAAGATCTAAGAAATCTGGGATATCTCGGCTACCTATGCAAAAGTCATGGGCCCATTCACTGCTTAGTTTGCATATAATTGACTATGATAAACCTACCATGCCAGTTGCTAAGAAGAATTATAACTAGTGCAATGTCAGTTCTTTGATGTAAAATATGATGAGAATTCATTGGCCAACTGTACACTATGCTTGTCGTAATGGTAGTCTTGTTGCTATGAGCTTGTTTACTTAACTAACAAAACCAGTCATCAGTCATCTGGTGTATTCCGATCAAACCACTCCGGCGATAAGATATAAAAGAGAAATAAATTCACCTTAACTCGGACCTAAGACCGCCATAATACTGTAGACTGGTGTCTGGGTGTGACCCGTATTGGGCTTGAACTGATGAGCCATTTTCATATTTCGATGGCCCTACAGGATGCTGAGAGCCCATTGCAATAGAAGTGAGTCAGAAATACGAAACTAACATTACGAGGACACTTATACTACAAATCTGTTCGGGGGCCATCCTACTCTGCTTTCCACGGGATATGGGACTATACAGCGACCACACAATGCAGCAGGCCACCGCGCCGCGTCCGCCTCTCGGCTCACTTTCACCACGGCCCGGAGCTTCGAGAGCCCAATCGTCAGACCTGTATCCACTACCCTCCATCGGGGAAAAGCTAAAAGGGCGACGAAGCTGTTTCCGGGCCAAAGCCCCCGAGACGCCTCGGTCCCCGGTACGTGGCGTCTATTGTTGGCATATTTGCTTATTTGATACCAGCTTTGCGTTTCCTGATCGCCACCTGATCCACCAGAGTACTTGGACATCACAGGAAGAAGTAAGTTACCACTGAAGACACCACCGCCGCAGTCAGACACAATCATCACGACAGATGACCGAGGGGGCTAACGGGGAGGAAAAGCATTCCCGTACCGCACGAGGGTGATTGATAAAGAGCAGATGATGCATAATGAGTTGTGATCCTTACGCATGTAATTTAGGCCCTGGTAGGGCAACCGGACAAGCATTGGCTGGTTGGGAAGAACGCTGTTGGACGGATGCTGGGAGGCTGGAACACGAGACAGAGGTTGGACTGGCAAGTCGTCGGTCGGGTAGAAGGGCAGACGATGAGGCCAAAGGTCCTACGTTTTGATACTAATATAAACAGATCTCAGGAATAACTTTTACATCGTTGATCTATACACAGCTTGAAGCTATGATCCTGTCAAGTTTGTTTTACTTAGGAATGGTTTAGCAGTAGAATTCATTTAGCCAAAGAGGTCTTCATACCCTGAATTCTTTCCGCCACCGTAGTTTAGGCAGTAATTCATTGCTTCCAACTATATATTAACACACACAAGCTATTTAGCATCGATGGCCAGGATAAGCCATGGCGCCGGGTAAGGACATGTCCAAGCAAACAAACATGCCCACCAACCACGCACTGCAAACGGTCCAGAAACCCGAACCAATTGCCGGTAGTTATCAGCCAGCTGATTCCCCGTCCACAGTGCCCGAACAACTCAAATGCACAAGCAATCCATACATACAGGGCGACCTAGCCGCTCTCGGGAAGAGCTCGCAGGCAAGTACCCGAAGCGCTGGAAGCATAGAGCCGACTGGCAGACGACAGGTCATCTAGGACAGGCGTAGACCCGTCCGTCTCTGTCGCCCCGTATCCAGATAGCTGTAGGCAGGCACAGACATGACTTTATAAATCGACAGAAGCACCAAGCTACCCAACAACAAAAACCATCATAGTCCAGTGGTTAGGATGTCAGATTTTCAATGCCCCCAGGTGCACAGACTCTCTGAAGACCGGGGTTCGAACCCCCGTGATGGTATAACTTTAGCTTTTTGTCCCGTCCCCCGAAGGCAGACTTATAACTCCTCTACACATAGACGGGCCTCTGCTTACTTGCTGGACTCCTCTTTTCCACGATTGTTAACTTAGCATTTATCATAGTGCTTTAAGCTGCCGAAGTATGAGTAGGTGCCTTTCTATCATCGTGACTTTGTCAAGATGTATGTACCGTATATACTTCTCTGCCAACCTCGACACCGTCCAGGCGCCCTGTGGTGGAAGGGCTGTAACTAGGTAACTTAACCTGCCGGCTCCTTGAGTCTTCCTTCTTCTTGGACTTGATAGTCAACAAGTCCTGCTCTTGGAAATGCGGGCACCCGACTTTTCCTTCAGACAAGTTACACCAGGATGTTTAGGTCGTAGTAGACTTGGCCCTCACAGGAATGTGAGGCCCGGTGGTAACAAGCCACGGCTTTCCCGGGCAATATTCCGGAGAATAAACTGGACCAGAAGACGAGAACCCCGTTGATGGATGAAGGTTGGAAAATTAAGAAGTAACGAGGGCGTGGTCTGATGCCGGAACCCCATAAGAATACTGGAAACATGTATACCTGCCTGCGCACGCACCCCAGCCAGTCCAGTCCGCCTAGACCTGTCCGTCTCTATGCATACCTCATGCGGGAAGGAAAAAACCAATCTCCCTCTCTCCCAGCAGAATATCCCAAGCGCTCTAGTACAGTAATGGTGTTGAAAGCGGAAAGACAGTGACAGTCCGGAGCATCACCCTGCTCTACTCTACTGCCCCAGCAGCTCCTTGGCGACCTTGGTCTGCTCCTCGCCATTCAGTTCCGCCAGGGCCTTCGCCTTCTCCGCCTTGGCGGGGTCGAAACGCCACAGACCGCCCGTCTTCGCCGCGTCGCCATCTGTGTGTAGGCCGACATTGGGGGCCAGGGTCGTGAGGACGGGGTCGGGTTCGGTCCGGGCCGTGAAGTACCTCCTCTCCCAATCGACGCCCTTGGACTGCTCCTGCTTCCTCATCGCGCGCTGTGCCTGCTCTATCTTGGCCTTCTCCTTGCCGACGAGATCCATATCGCCGGTTTGAATGCCCTTTGCCACATTGGCCCACGCGCGCCGGGATTCCAGAGGGTGCTGCTTATCTAAGGGCAGGAGGATCAGCTGGTGGGGCAGCATCTGAGCCGGGTCCCATGTCTCGATGAGGGTTTTAGAGGAGGTGTGTTTTGGACCACCGGTGTGAACCTCAAAAGCCTTGTTCCACTGGCCCGAACAGGTGTAAAGCACCTCCTTCTCCTTGCCGGTGGGATGGAGGATGGCGGTGAACGAGTTCTTCTTGCCACTTAGCCAGCCCTTGCCGCTATAGTCGATCTTAGCGGTGTAGCCGGTCGAGGACGTAATGTAGGAAGCGCTGTCGAGTTCCATGAATGGCGAGCCGAAGAGAAGCCCCTCGACGTGAAGTGAAGGTAGCGTGATGAGGTACGTGTCTTTCTCCGCGGGCTTTCCGGGGACCGGGACAGTGAGTACAGCATGGCCGAGCTGCTTGATGTATATGGTCTTGGCAAAGCTCGCCTTCTGAGCATTGTAACCTTCAAGCTGAACACCAGTAGGCTCGTTGATGATGCAATATGCGGTCGCGGGAGGGTGATGGCTGTCGGATTGGTTAGTTGGCACGGAGCTCTGCAGATCCAGGGGCAAGACTCATGGGCCTTACCTGACTTGCTCGCTAACTACTTTGGTGGTTCCTGCTTCATCTTCCCACTTCCCAATGAACAACTCGCCAAGGAAGGGATTGAGGGGCTTCTTCTCATTGCCATACTGCTCGCTCCGGCTCGCGTATTGCTGCTTGAGTGTGGTCAAGAACCACTTGAGCACCAGCAGGGCCCTCTTGGCAGGGTCTTGCTCTTTGGCTGGGGCCGCGAAAACGGAGGGATGCTCGCACCAGTAGGAGCTGTACTCGGTAAGGCTGGTCGAGGAGAGGATGAAGGGCGGCGCAGTCAAGGAGGAAAGGTCGCCGTTGAAGGAGGCGATGGACTATCAAGAGGGAAGGGGCATGTTAGAATCGCGAGTCAAGTCGGGGAGAGTGTGACAGTGACTCGAGGGTCAATAGTACCGACCTTGATGAAGGAAGCCCAACTGGAGCTGCCCGCTTGGGAATTCTGCTGCGTCTCCGACATGGTCGCGACGTCTTACCGGGCCCAGATATAAGTAACACAGCAACAAAGGCACGGAGGCTCAAGCCACCTCAGTGGATTCTTGGCCTGGCTGAGAAGGGGATGGAGCGCTGCCGGTCGAATGATGCGCTGACGATGATGCGGCGGCGGGGTCAAGACTCCCACCAGGTTCAAGAACTAGAGACGTACAATCTGATAGCTCCAGGTACGGGACGAGCGGAAAGGGGGGAAACGGGAGAACGGGATGGGATCTCGGCAGGTACGGCAAGGAATGGGGTAGAATATGACTCGGGACTGGACTAGGTATCAGGGCGAAGTGCTTGTCGAGGCTGATGTGAGCGTGTGAAGACTCACAGGCGGACAGGCTTCGTGACTTGGATGTGGGAAGTTGACGTCAAAGCCCATGTTTCTCTCCCGAGCACCCCGCGTCATTGACCCCTGTCCAGCCAGCCTATTCCTGTTCGGGGATATAGCGGGGAAGGCCATGCAGGCCATTCCAAAGCCCCCAGAACCGGTCCAAGGGATCAAGCCACTGCAGAAGTGCCTCTGCTGTGGCTGGTTCGCAGCGGGTTGCCACAGTCTCACAGACCTGGCCACTGCAGAGTCCCATTGCATGCAGCGCAGGCCAATTTAAGGGGAGATTGCGTGACCGACAGCCGGTGCCAGACGCGTCTGTAGTGCATGGTCATGCGACCATCGCTCCCGCGCGCGTCGCCGGCTTTCCCCGGCCATGCCGCCCACACGATGCCATCACGCCTCAGGTTGGGTGCTCGGGGGACAGGCTTATGGCAGCTCCGCGTGGTCCAGCTCGCCCAGTCTTCGCCCCTTTGGCTGTTAAAATTGTATGCCATTAGGATTAAGCTATCCTCAGGGCCTCCATCTTCAGGACCCTCGACCAACTGTCATTATATAAACCATGCCAGGGTATCATTTTCCAGCCTTCGCGCCTCCTCCCCAGCCGAAAGTGAAGACCCTTGTCGTGTCGAAGACGTGTAGCCATACCGAAACCCTTCCGATGACCACGCCGACACAGGACCTCTGCGGCCAAGATAAAAACAAAATATGCAAGACAGATACAAGAAGAGCGTCAAGGGTGAAACCTCCCGGTTAATGTGAATGACACCTGCTCGTCAGCTTCTGACCTAATTTGCCATTCACTCCCGAGAATCGTCCTTCGGCGAAGTCTCCGATTGTTGACCACGGCGCGTAATGGCATTGCCTGGAGCCGGGGTCGTACGTCCAGGCCATGCAATTTGTCGACTGTCGCTGGCAGATTTTCAAGCACTCGCCAACGTCAACGATGTTCTCGACCGTCGTGCTCCATTCATCCAGCCGCCCTACATAGTCCATGTTCTGTCGGATCGGCTCTTCGACAAACGAGGCGAATGCGGGCGACCCGTAGATGTTCCCCAGCGCTCCCCAGTAGACGGGTTCCTTCATATCTTTGAAGGTCTCGCCAACCGCCTGCATGGCCTCCGGGTCGCCGAGCCCGTGAAAGCTGAGCAGGGGCAGGCAGAGCCGGTCGGCCCACATTCGTGTCATCCAGGGGCTCTCGCCGTTAAACATGCGGCGGTAAGATTCGTCCAGGTAGACTGCCACCTTCATCAGGGTTGTCGCTAGCACCTTGTCGCCCCAGATGACCGACGGCGCCTCATGGTTACCCTCGTCCACGACGTCGGGACGCCCGTCGAATAGTTGGGCTAAGGCGGCTCCGGAGAGGATGACGGAGGAACCACCGTGTGGGAAACGTCCCTTATAGTCCCCCACGGGATTCCCTATGAATTGCGGTTTTCTGTAGTTGAGATGGCCCATCAATAGGCTCATGGAAGACTTGATCATGTACGTGTCGTCGTCCAGCATGATATACCACTTCTTCTTGGGCATGGCTCGCCACACATACTCGAGGCTGGGGAGAAACTGCAACAGGTTAGTAACGCACTGATCGGGTTTGGGCGTGGGGCCGGCAAACCTTCATGGCGTCTAGTTCCCAGCCCATGTCCTTGCCCAATATGTCGGACAACATCCATTCTTCGGCCTCAATTGCCTCGGTCATGCTCTTGTACTTAAGAACGCGCTCTCTATGCAACGAGGTCCTCATGACACCATTCTCCAGGCCCCAGCCGATGATGTCGACGGTTGGCACCTCCTTGCCGTCGATCGCCCGGTAGTTCCTTTGGTCATCGAGCACGGGAAAATCTTGTACAATGACAGTGTCGGCAAAGAAGGTCTCGTTGCCCAGCGCTTCCAGAGCCACGGGTATGCGGTGTCTTGTTCCATATCCCGTCTTGAGTATCACGCCCACGTCCTTGTCGGGGTCGATCGGGTACCGCTGCTTTCTGAACAGCCAGGCATCGCTCGGGTGGTGGTTTTGCCAGTAATCTTGCAGACTGTTGTGGGAGAAGCGGGCGAAGGACCTCACGCGGCTGTCGTAAGGCGACGTGATGTAGAGGAAGAAGAGGAGAACGGTGGTGACTATGGTGATCTTCTGGTTGCGTGTGAGCCGCTTGCTGAAGGGGCGAAGCCTCTGTCGCTCTGCCAGACCCATGGCGGCGGGTATGAGAGAAGAGGATTGAGCGGGGCCGGATCGAAGGAAAATACAGCGCTGCTGCGTGGCGCGCTTTTACTTTGTCGAGGGGTGCCTCAGTCGCCTAGTACGGGGATCGGCGGTTGAGTTAAGAAGGTACTTATAGAGGACGATCATGCGTTCTGCGTCAGGGAGTTGAGGTAGTGAAAGGGTCAAACGAGTGTGGGAGTGGTTTACAAACGAGGAATGGAGAAGAGGTGAGCAATGTGAAAAACGAGCCCGAGACAGGGACGAGGGGTGAGGAATTAAAGGTAAGAATGGTAGGCGCGA